ATATATCGAAGCCTCGACGAGCTCATCTCTATGTGAATTCTATCCTGAAATAATGGAAAGCAGAGTGAGAAATCAATAAATAAACAAGAAAGCTACAAAGGCTATTTAGAACACACATCAAAGGACACCAGAAAAAAAAATCGAAGGACAACCAAACAAGAAAGCGAACTCACATTGATATCTGTCACAAAGCTAACTATATGTCGCATAAGCAGATCATTGTTGTAAACCTCGGCAATGACATTAGCATTAGTTATGTGGGAATTATCAACATTCTTTGACTGTATTGCACTGCGACGGGCATTGCCTGAAAAGCTCATTCATTAGGTCAAAGTCCGAACACCAACACGAACCAAATGGAGCAATATTCGGGTGCGAAAAGCAATTTTAAGGTTTGTTTCTGGAATCGAAATTGATACCTGTTACTATGCATAACCCTGAAGTTTTGATCTCTGTTTTAGCACTGCTTAGGGCTCTAGATAGAGCCTCCGAGGTGCCACGCCGTAGGTCAAGATGGTCCTCGCGCTCAGAAACTCGCAGGTGTCCTTCTTTGTACAAGTAGTCTGGTCCTCGGCTCTAAGACTGTCCCGCTTCCGTAGCTTCGCAGCAAATAACGGGCGCTGCGGCCCTCACAAGTGGCAGTTCTAATGCCCCCTAGTCGTTACGCAACCAGAACTAAAAAAGCTATATTCTGTCACGTTTTCTTGGTTCTTTTGATTGTTATTAGCATTGAATGATGCGAGAAACGATCAGTAAGCCAGAGACGGCAGCATATCCTTCTGCTGGCATAAAACGAGCAGGTCCAGACAACTCGTCCAGAGAAGCTGACACGGGTTCCTTACTGACGATGTTTCCCACAATATTGTATTGCTTTTCTTTCCTGAGAGCCATTTGCTGACAATACGTCTGTAATGGAACACCACTACCCACAATATACACTCGCGGGGTTTATCTCTAAAGGCACGGTTCACCTCCATTCGATGTTCAGGCGTCTTCTTTCGGATATGACTGCCGTGACTACAAACCATGAAGGTACTGCTTTGCAGCCTAAAAATACCTGTAAAAGAGCCGTACACTGGGAAGAGCGCATGATCGGGCGAGCTGTCATATGTTTCTGCCAGCTCTTTCTGCTTATCACCTCACCCTCACCGTTTGAAAGGAGAGTTGATAGCGGAACAACCGTACCATCAGGAAGCCTTCAGAAACGGAAGTTGGGCGTTGCCGTCCACTGGGCGGGGCCCAAGGTATTTCGCAAGCGGGCGACGCTTCTCATTTATTTTCGCTTCGAAAGAAGTACATCCTCTATGCTTGCAGGCAGGACGATCGTCTCTAACCTCAATGACGCAGAAACCTTATCTCCATACTCAGCATACTCCAAAGCTGTGACAAAAATGCTGTCGTTCGAAACATGTACGAAAGGGCCACCGGGGTCTGCACAGGAGACAGTACCCTGTATAAAAATATACCCACAATACTGGAATAAATTCCAAGAAAAAAAATCAAAAAAGTCACCTCGTCCAGTGTAGTTCGCAGTAACCAGTAAACAACAGACTTGTGCCGCTCGTTTTGTTCGTTGATTGCCTTTTTTAAAATTTTTTTGCCATACAACAACTGTAACGCTGAAAGTGTAATAATTCGTCCTCTAAGGCCGCGTTCATAGCTTGCGACCATGAAGAAATGCAGAAATGCGGAAAATGCAGAAGTGCGGAAAGTGCAGAGTGCGGAATCTGCAGAAAAGCAATAGATACGTATCGACTTGAAGAAATGCAGAAATGCCGAAACTGCAGACGTGCGGAAAGTGCAGAAATGACGAAAAGCATTACATACGTATCGATTTGAAGAAATGCCGAAAGTGAAGAAGTGCGGAATCTGCAGAAATGCCGAAAGTGCGGAATGTGCAGAAAAGCAACCGATACGTATCGATTTTCCACACTTTCGGCATTTCTGCAGATTCGGCACTTCTTCACTTTCGGCATTTCTGCATTTCTTCAAGTCGATAAGTATCCATTGCTTTTCTGCACATTCCGCACTGTCGGCATTTCTGCAGATTCCGCACTTCTTCACTTTCGGCATTTCTGCATTTCTTCAAATCGATACGTATGTAATGCTTTTCGTCATTTCTGCACTTTCCGCACGTCTGCAGTTTCGGCATTTCTGCATTTCTTCAAGTCGATAGTATCTATTGCTTTTCTGCAGATTCCGCACTTCTGCACTTTCCGCACTTCTGCATTTTCCGCATTTCTGCATTTTCTCACGATACGTGCAAGCTAATGACACGCGACAAACGGGAACAACACGGGAAGTTTGAGGCGAAAAGCGAAATGAAAGACGAAGATGCAGGTGGATGTTAGTATATTAAATCCGACTACCCAATCACGGAGTCGCTTCGCTGCAAATTGCGTATAACTGCTGCTACCGTAATGCACGTCTAATGTGCATTCACAGCTGCGGCTGCTGCGCCAACTGTAATTAATTTAACTTGCTCTTCTCTGGCATAGATAACATCAGCTCATACGACAAGGGTCGCGATCGACGCGATCCAGGCTCATGTCTCTTTTAGGAGGAGGAATTACGCATTGCGATTGCGAGCCCCCAGGACCAGGCAATACAGCAAAAAATCACCCGTTCGGTGTGACTCGCAACAGAGAGAAGTGTTTATGCGGCCTCGGTCCAGAGCGAGAGGTTCTCGATAGAAGCGATATTTTCGGTTTTTTCATGGTCATAGTTAGTTCCCACATAATTAGGACCGCAAAACTAGACGAAGTTGAGAAATGGAAATTTTCCTCCTTCTATTGAGGACATTATATATTTTAAGCCTAGTATATCAAAGAACACTCGGCGCGGTTTTTGATCCGAGAGTTTACTAAAGCTGCAACAAGAAGGTCTCTCATTACACAAGCCACACTTCCATCCAGAACCCCAGAAGGCTTTCTTCTCTTTCGCTTGATAAGAATGAAACTTGAAGCACAGGAGCGTGATCAACCTTCCTATGTAACGCGCCACTTGTTCGTCTTGCAAGATCACAGTGACATAGAAATATGGACCCATAGAATACGCGCTTTATATAGAAAGAACAGACCTTGTACGTAAGCAGCTGATGGTTCCGTTATCATACTTAGACAAGCATCACTTTCTATAATAGCTATGTAGTTTCATTTACACTACATCAATTTATCATGAAATTGCAATCCGACGGAGTTACGGCACTCCACGGCGAGGCACGAAAGCGATGCAGTGCTTCACTAGTTCTGCCACAGCTTTGCTCATTATTGACGCCTGTACTTACGACCCCACCCCCTCTGCCTTCACGCAACATACGACCCCTTCGTCGCGATTTCCTCGAAGCACTTGACCGTGGCTCCCCCCCAGCCCCCCTCACCCGCCTGCCCCTTCACTCAACGCTTTGCAAACTGTAACAGGAAAGAGGACAGTGCAAACGCATTATTGCAACACGCTAGGCATCTTGACCACGAGGTAATCTCTTTTAAGCACGTTATAACAATCATAGGTTCGGTTTGACGTGAGGAGTGCATCCTCTACTAGCAAAGGGTCTGAAGTACAAGTGCCAATGATTGAACCAATTAAAGATAAATTTATGATACAAAATCGAACGTTTACTATCCCTTTTGGCACAATCACAGCCATTTTCTTTGCCTTCACTTCATTATAGTTGGCGCAGTAGCCACAGTGTGAATATGCATGAGACGTGGACTACGGTAGAAGCAGTGAGTACGCAATCGCACGGCGTGATTGGTGGTATTTATATATAACATCGGCATTGCTACATTACACAAAGTCCGACCCTTCCGCCATCTAGCCAATACCCACACAAAGTAACTTATTTAACTCAAGTAGGCTACGATCGGACATTCTGTAAAATATACTGGGACTGGGAACAAACGAGATGGTGCTATCGCAGTTTTGTAGTGGCAATGGTTAGACAGACTTGGGTCTGAAGATGTCCTCACATAACCGTCAACGCGATATTTTGTCAGATGACCTGTCCAAA